AAAAAAAAAAAAAAAAAGACTGAGCAAAATGTGTGGTTAAGTGTCCTGGTTCTCCAATAAAAGTATTGAGTTTCTCTGGGGAAAGTGCAGATAAAATGCTTCGGCTGAGCATGGCACCAACGGGAACTCAGTGAGTGTGGCGCGCTGTGGGAGCTGTGGGTTTCCGGAGCTCAAGGCTGCGGTGCCTTCCCAGAGTCCTCCTCCCCAGCAGCAGCCACTCAAGGGCAAGTCACATGCACAGCCCGGCCTCAGCCTGCTGGGGCAGACGGCAAAGACCCCTGGGCTTCTGATCTAGCTCCTCCCCCAGCCAGCAGGACCTTCCCTCTGGTTCCTGAGCCCCAGGGGGCCCCTGAGGTCCCTGGGAGGAGTCAGCTTCTGGCTTTGCTCAGTCTCAGCCAGGCCAGGCCTACCCAGATATCCGAGCCAGGGACCCGGGTTCCTGCCTCCAGTGAGGCTGGGAGATTCCCTCAGAGGCCCAGCCTTGACCCCAGGCTGCAGAGGGTCCACCCACTGAGTGGGTGTAGATGGAGACCCTCCTCTCTGCTGTGGCTCAGGCTGCAAAGCCACAGAGGGGTCTGTGTCGGGCAGACCCCATAAGTGCAGAGGCAGGAGTCAGAAGCCTCAGCCTATTTCCATATAAATAATGAAGAAGGAAAATAACTAGAGATATAACCGTAGTAGTTATTCACAGGTAATCTTAATTACTCATACGTGATCTTAGTTATTCATAGGTGATCTTAGTTCTTTTACTAATGCCTTTCAGGTCACAAAGTGTGAACCTGGGTTGACATTGTGAAAGGAATGACCCTAAGGCAAGACACTTTAAGCCCTCTGTCATGCCAGTGTAAGGGCTGCTGGAGGGCGCCTCGGCTGTGTGGCAGCGCCAGAGCTGGGAAAGTGCCTGCTATTTAGCCAGTTAGGGAAGGAGACATCCAAGATGGCTGAGATGTCTCCTTCCTCCAGGGAGTTAGCAGAAAACTCTGCTCCTCCAACCTCTTGCGGCAGGCCTGACGGCTGTCAGGGAAGCCCACAGACATCCGGGGGCTTAACTGTCTCTATGTTGTGCTGTGCTTCAGTGGTCACGTTCCAGGTCCACTCTCATGTTCCGCTTCTGCACCTGGTTCCTTTTTTCTTACAAGAGATAATCAGTAAAAGTAATATGAATCTTAATGTCTTTGTTCTTTCTTGACAAGTATGGAAAAGTGCTGACGCATTATGCTTCTTACGTCATCTTGGCTACTAGAAAGCCTTTTGGGCTCCTACCTATATGACATGTGATGTACTTGACCTTATCACCGACCACCAGTGCCGTGCTCTACCTACCCTGTCCCCAGTTTTGTCTTTTTTTTTTTTTTTTTTTTTTTTTTTTTTTTTTTTTTTTTAGACGGAGTTTCGCTCTTGTTACCCAGGCTGGAGTGCAAATGGCGCGATCTCGGCTCACCGCAACCTCCGCCTCCTGGGTTCAGGCAATTCTCCTGCCTCAGCCTCCTGAGTAGCTGGGATTACAGGCACGCACCACCATGCCCAGCTAATTTTTTGTAGTTTTAGTAGAGACGGGGTTTCACCATGTTGACCAGGATGGTCTCGATCTCTTGACCTCGTGATCCACCCGCCTTGGCCTCCCAAAGTGCTGGGATTACAGGCTTGAGCCACCGCGCCCGGCCCCCCTGTCCCCAGTTTTGTAATCAACAAAAGTCAGAGTGTCCAGGCACTCAGGGTCACTGCTGGACTCCGCACTTTGATTGGCACTGGACCCCTGGGCCCCAACTTTCTCTCAATCTCCGTATCTTATGTCTTTTATTTCTACAGTTTCTTGTCTTCACACCAGCAGAGAGAGGCTCAAAGGACCCTGTAGGGCTGGACCTTACAGGGGTCTTCCCAAGCCCTACACCTGGAAGGCAGGGAGGCCAGGAGCTTGTGGCCTTAACCCAACCCCTGACCCAGAAGGGCCAGCGGGCCCGGGGCCACCTCTGCGGGCAGGAGAAGGCCTCATTGTTCCCTCTCCTGGCAGAGTGAGGACTGGGGCGTGCCTGGGGCAGGAAATAAATGCTCAGTAAATCCCCCTCCTGGGAAGCCCTGATCCCGAGGGACAAAGGGCCTGTGTTGAGTCTCCCTGAGGACGGGCTCAGGGCCAGCACTTGGGCCAGGGCAGATGGAGGGGGCAGGGGGAGTGGGGTGGTGCCTCCCACCAGGTGGGCTTGCTCCCCTGGTCGGGACACGCAGGTGAGGAGGAGTGTCCTCATATGTGCACGCCCCCTGAGTGCAGGAGAGGCTGGGCGGGCGCGTGTGTCTGGGGCATGCATGTGCTTGCATCTCCACTTGCACGTGTGTGAGTAAGCGTGTGTGATCCACGTGCTCGGGCAGACTGAACAGCCCTCCAGTGGGCATTTGGGCGAGTCTCCACACCCCTCTGGCCAGGCTCTTCCTCCAAGTACCCCCAACCCCAGCTGCTGCTTCTGGAGTCCTGGTCCAGACGACTCACCTTCTGGGCGCCAAACCCCGCCGGCCTGGAGTTAGAAATGAGGCCCCTGAACTGCCAGGAAACTTGGGAGGGCGCCCTCGGGCTAGGCTGGGTCGAGAACACAACCCGCTTTGTGCCGCCTTCGAGCTCCTGCCTCTGAGAGCTGTGCTGGCCAAGGACTTGGCCTCTTCCTCCTCTACCTCCCTGGAGGAGGCTCCTCCTGAGCGGGGCTCCGCTGACCCTTCCCGGGCCTGGCCCCTGCTGTCCCCAAAAGTCAGAGGGGCTTTGGGGGGTGCAGAAGGGTGGCAGCAGAGGTGCAGTTGGGACCTCACCTTGACGCCCCAGTCATTGGAAGCCCAGCCCCTCCAGGGAGATGGTGCAGGTGCCAGAACAAGGGCCAGGTGCCAAGACTGATGTGCTGCTGTGCTCCTGCCCCCTCAGGGCTGGGAGTCACGGGAGCCCCCTTCCTTACTCTGCCATCCAGCACCATGGACAGGGCTTCTGTGGTTCTTTAGGAATAGGTATCTACCAGGGTGGGCGGACTTTTTGTGTGAGGGGCCAGATAGTACAATTTTAGGTTCAGAGGCTGCAGGTCTCAGTCACAGTCATGTTATGCTTCTGTGCAGGCATGAAGGCAGCCTCAGGTCACATGCCAGTGATCACCCGCGGCTGTGAGCCAATGATGCTTGACTTATGAACCGGGGGCATGGGGATTTCCAGAATGTTCATGGACCACAAGACACTGTTCTTCTGAATGTTTCCTAGCACTGTTGACATGTAGGAGGCTCTCTCTGCTTGTGGGCTGGGCAGAAACACGTGGTGGTTGGCTAAGCCATAGTTGGCCACCCCTGGCGCAGGCACCTGGTTCAAGTCATGAAAGACCCGCCCCTCCCGCAGCCCCTGCCCACCCTCATCCCGTTGAGACCAGTATCCCCATTGCTGGTGAGCCAGCACTTGCAGAGCGAGTCAGTGCATGCCCAAAGCCCCTACCCCACGACTCCTCCTGGGAAGCACGTGGGGTCCAGACACACTGGTCTCCCACCCCACTTCCCTGAGGAATGCGCCTGCAGCAGGAGCAGCATCTCCAGGTAGATCCCTCCGTGACTTCTCGGCTTTGTCTCTTTCCAAAAATTAACGTTGTACGCTCTCCCCCAAGGCATAAAGTCTAAGGCTCAGGGCAATCGGCCCTGTGGGGAGGATCTCAGCTCCTCACAGCACTCTCAGTGAGAGGTTCTGTTGTTAAGCACACAGAACAGAGACCCAGAGAGGCGAAGCAGTTGCCCGCAGTTCCCAGCCCTGCTCCATCAGGAAGCCAGGTTGGAACCCCGTCTGGCTCTGGGGTCCTGTACTGGTGATCACCGCCCTGTGGCCATTCCCAGCGGTCACAGGCCCTGCGGAGCTTCAGCCCCCATACACACACGAGAGGTGTCCTGAGGACATGTGTGGAACTCCACTTGAGCTGCAGTGTGTCCCCTGGTGCCTGCCTCTCTTGGGCATCTGATGGCCTTTATCTCTTCTCCCCTAATCTTATCCGACACCCACCTCTTCTGCAGACCCCAGTTCCTTCCCCATGGGGTGGCCCTGGGTCCTTCAGGATCCTTGGGATGAGACGTCTCCAAACATGAGCCCTTCTCAGCTGGCATCTGAGGGTGATAGTGCTCTGCACACAGCATCTGCCTGCACAGGTCTCCCAACCAGGAGGGGCTGAGGGGGAAAGAAGTGAGACAATCAGCAGCGCCCTGGGAACAAGCCCCGGAGAAGCACCAGTTCCCGCCCAGGTGCGGACAAACACCTCAGAAGGACGGGTCTGCAGGGTTACCCTCCCCAGGCCCTCTGCCTCCTGTCCTGGCTGGGACTGCACCTTTTGTGGCCTTCCCTCCCCTGGCCTGTGAGCCCCTGAACACTGGCTCATCCCAAGGCAGCCTGCAAAGGCCGCACCTGGAGGCCAACCGTCTGGCATGCCTGTGGCATGGGGCACAAAGGGCTGGGTGGTCCACTTGGGCTCTCTCAGGGCCCATGGTGAGCTCGGCCTGGGTCCCAGGAACCCTGACAGGCACGAGGCGCTGACTGAGCCTGAAGAAGGCCCCAACTCCAGGTCACCCATGGTGGGAGTGGGCCCCATGGAGCTTCTGTAGACCCTTGACCCACCACCCTCGGGTAGAAGCCGTCAGGCTGAGCTGGAGAAGGCTTGGAGCCAGCGTCTCCCCACCTCTGCTGTCCAGCGCTGCTGCCAGTGCTGACTGGAGACAGCCCAGAGGTGACTGTGAAATGCCTGTCACTGTCCCCAGCCCTGTTTTTGTAGGTTGCAGAGCCAAGACAGCAAATACCACACATCCGGGAGCCGTCCCCCAACAAGAGCCCCACCACCAACTCCTTCCTGTACCCATGGTGTCCTCTCACTCCTTCCTTCTGGATGGGGGCCCAGAGGGCACAGGAGGGTATAAAGAAGACCTGGAGGGACCCAGGCACAAGGAGACACCAGCGAAAACTCTCCCGGCCAGGTAAGGTGCTTGGCTCCATGGTGGGGCCTGGTGAGGTCATGCTGGCCCTTGCTTTGGAGTCAGGAGCCCTCTTGTCTTCCCCCAGATCCCTGGGATGCGCCAGCCAGAGGCCATGCTGCTGCTGCTGCTCACCCTCGCCCTCCTGGGGGGCCCCACCTGGGCAGGGAGTAAGTGGGTGGGGTCTGCTCCCAATCTCCCCTGCCTCCCTCCAGACTAACTCTGGTCACAGAACCACCCTGTTCTGGCTAGAGGGGCGGGTCCCCTCTTCTGGCAGAGGTCGCCCCCAGATCACGGCATGGGGATTTTCTCCCCCTTGGTTTTCTCTTCCTTGTAGAGATGTATGGCCCTGGAGGAGGGAAGTATTTCAGCACCACGGAAGACTACGACCATGAAATCACAGGGCTGCGGGTGTCTTCGGCTCTTATGGTGAAAAGGTGTGTAGGGCCGTGGTCATGGGCCCCACGCCATGTCCCAACCCGTCCCACAGTTTCAGGAACTCAGGGCAGGGGTTCCTGTAGGCACCTGTAGGCACTTTTCTCACTTCCTGTCCGGCTCCTGCCGATGATTCCCGGCTTGAGCAGAGAAGATCAGATGACCATCCCCCCACCTTCTCCCTTCAACCCAAACTCAATTCAACCAAAAATGGCCTTTCCATCCCCAAGCCTGATAGGAAGATCAGGGGAAAGTCTGTTCACTTACAGTCAGAGAAGACAGGGGGTGAGGGTCAGAGTGGACCACCGACTGAACATGAGTCACACAAGTGTTAGAGGCAGAAATCCGGGCCATTTCCCTAACATCAAGGTGTCTCTGCTCAAGGTCTGGGATGGGTTTCTGCCTTGCACTTAGGAGTTCTGGGGTCCTGGAGGAGGGCATGGAGGGTGAAGCCCAAGAGCAGAGGAGACAGCGTGTGGGCAGGGCGCGCCGGAGGGCTGCATCCTAGGAGGGCACCAGCGTGAGGGAGGGACGCAGATGAGCCCCCGGGGGAAGCGCTGCTAAGTGTGGGAAGTCACCTGCCCCTCGGCGGCCGTTAAGCTGCTCTGCTCAGAGTGACTCAGGCTCCTTGGGTCTGGGCTCAGCCAGAGGCAGCTCCTGTGTGGGCCACCATGACAGCAGCCGGTGCCTTCTGGGATCACGGGGACCTGGGCACTGCACGGAGCTCTCTTTGTCACCACCTCGGTGACTCCTGCCAACAATCACAGCCACTTTGCAGATGGGGAAACTGTGCCCAGAGAGGCTGGGTAACCAGTTCAAGATTGCAGAGCCGGAAAGTGGTAGAACCAGGGTTGGTGACCAGTGAGTCTGTGTCAGGGACCCAAACGCTGATGGTGCTGGTCTCTGCATCCCAGGAAGGAGGGTGGGGGCGCTGAGGACCTGGATGTGCTGGGCCATCCCAGATCTGGACATCCAAAGCTTTGCCTCTCTCCCAGTGTCCAGGTGAGACTTGGAGACTCCTGGGATGTTAAACAGGGCGCTTCAGGTGGGCAGACCCAGGAAGTCATCCTGCAGCAAGGCGAACACATCATAAAAGTCGTTGGCGCCTTCAAAGTTTTCCTTCAGGGTATGGCCCTGTGCACCAACAAAGACCGCTGTTTCTATTTTGGGAAGCTTGTTGGGAATTTCTTCTCTGCCTACCCCAGCCAAGAGGGGCAGGTGCTGGTGGGCATCTATGGCGAGTATGGACTCCTTGGCATCAAGAGCATTGGGTTTGAATGGAACTATCCACTAGAGGAGCCGACCACTGAGCCACCAGTTACTTCCACATGTGGATGAAAGGCACCCATGGGTCACTAGGGTGGGGTACAGGGCCATCTGGGAGGTGGTGGCTGATGGCACTGGAGTAACTGAGTCAGGATGCTGAATCTGAATCCACCAATAAATAATGCTTCTGCAGAATCAATGCATCCAGGTTTGGTCCTTGGATCTGGGGTACAACCAAAGCCTTCCCTGCTCCTTGGGGACAAAGGCCCCAGTGCTGGAGTCCAGGGAACGGAGATGAAGGGTAGGGCAGAGGTGACTCTGCCGAGGACAGAAAGACAGCAGCACCACCCCTTCAGGGATGCTGTGGGACCCTGTGTCAGTCCCACAGTCTTTGAGGAGTCAGGCTTCAAGGCCACCACTCCCCACTGTCCCTCACCCCAGACCCATCCAGCGGGCCTCCGCTGGCCACTCATTCCTGGGCTTCTCTGAGTGTTCAAGGAGCCTCAGGGAAGCCACCCACTCATCCATTCACTCAGCAGACATTTGCCAAGGCCTTGTCCTCACCAGCGTCCCCTGGCACTGGGGGTATAAAGAAAAGGCCCAGTTTCCAGCTGAGGGCAGATGCCTCGTGCGTGGTAGGGGATGGTGCAGAGGCAGATAGTGGCAGTTCACTTTGCCATCCGCATGGATGGGGACACATGCAGCTCATGGTGTGTAGGTACTTTCCCAGGGGTGAGGTGAGGGGGATGTGCTTCAGGGAAGTCTTCCTGGAGGTGGCAATGTCTGAGCTAAGTCTTAAAGGATGAGGGAGAATTAGCCAAGAGGAGACAAGGGGAGGAGGGCATTACAGGTTGAGGGCTCAGCATGAGCAAAGGCACGAGATGCAGACAGCTGGGGACAGCAGGCCTCACACTGCGGTAATTTGTCACAGCAGAAACAGGAAATCAGTACAGGCCCTGGACCCAGCCCATTCTTCATGTCCCCTTCCCAAGTCTCCAAGCCCACATTGGCACTTGCCAAGATCAGAGCCCCAGGGGCCTCCAGGGACAGGGTTTTCAGCCCTTTGGGACCATGAGCCACAGAGAGAAATTGATCCTATTTGATACAAAAGAAACAACACATGTAATGGAACAGCCAAACACCCAGTGATCATCTACTGCAACAGCCAAACACCCAGTGATCAACTAATGCTAAAGCCAAACAGTCAGTGATCAGGGAAAGGGTCAGGTCCTATTCCAGGGGCTCCACCCAAAGTCTGCACCCACAACAATGGAAGGACAGGACTTCATTTACCCTCATTTGCAAAATGAAGAAACTGAGGCACTGCGGGCAAAGTGACTTGTCCTACACAGCAGTTAGAGGCAGAGTTGGAAGTTTGCCTTGAGGTGGCCAAGCTGCAAAGTCTGGCCCCTGAACCTCAGACCTAGGCAAAGATTTCACAACCCAGCTTCATCTTTCTGCATGAGATACACACTGACATTTTTTTCTCTTCTCTACTTTTATTTTTATTTAATTTTAAATGCTGGTTGAGAGCCACTTCTTAACCTGGGGCCTGTGGACAAAAATCAGAAATCAAAAAAGCAGAGAATCCATGAACTGGGATGGAGGGAACATTCATCTCTTTATTTTTATTATCCTTGACTGAAAATTTTATGTTTCCTTCAGGTGTGAATGTTACCTCATATGCAACGCCCATGAAATGACCACATCAATTACAGGTATTGATTGACTTACGACCTATGACACTTACGACCATTCGACTTTACGACCACAATCGCTAGCCACAACTGCTCCGCGTCTGGCAGCGCAAACGTTGCCCAGCTGGGCGTACGACAGTGCGGACCAGCTTCCAGCAGCACTACCATCTCCGCGTGCATATAGCCTACTCAACTTACGACCAAATCGTGTTACGACCGGTCTGTTGGACCCAATCGTGGTTGTAAGTCGAGCACTAGCTGTACTGTGGTCACAGACACCTTGAAACTTACACTCGTCACCACTCCAAAATTATGACAATCAGATCTGCCATTCAACATGTTGGTAATCAAAGCCCAGGCATAGAACACATTTAAGAAAATATTTTGACAAGCGTTATCTGTAGTTGCTTTGCAGAAGAAACCCCTTTCTTTTCTGCAAGAGAAATGAGAAGTCCACGGGGTCAACTGGGGGCCTCCCTTGGACCAGCCCAGCAGTTCCATTAGTTATTGTTTACTTCTCAAAGGTCTTTTTGCTTTGTTTTGTTTTGTTTTTCTCTTCTGAGAAGTTAAGCCTGGAGATCAAAGCTCTATTTAATTCTTTTAAAATTTGTGTTTTAGTAAGTTTCTTTCACTTGTGTTTATTGTTTCTTTTATTTATTTATTTATTTATTTATTTTTTCTGCCCAGGCTGGAATGCACTGGTGCGATCATGGCTAACAGTACCCGTGACCTCCTGGGCTCAGGCGATCCTCCCACCTCGGCCTCCTGAGTTGCTGAGACTACAAGCACATGCCACCATGCCCAGGTTGGTTGGTTGGCTGGTTCGTTGGTAGAAACGGGGTCTTGCTATGTGGCTCAGGCTTGCTATGTTTTTATATACTAAATTTGGTGACCCTAACTCAAGATACTTTGGGCACTTTGAGAGAAGGATAGGTCCCAAGAGGCAGAAGCTGGCATGGCAGTGAGGTTCTGGCCTGTCAGAAAAGTCTGGCCCTTCTTGGAGAGAGCAGAGGACCAGTGGGGGAGAGAGAACTGCAGCTATCCAATCAGGGGAAGGCAGGGAAGGTCTTTTCAGCACCTGCTCAGATAAGCAGATTTCTGTCACTTGCCACTGAGGGGCCCCAAAGAAGCCAGCACGATCCTGGGGAGGAGCCTTCCTTCAGAAGCTTCTCTCTGAACCTCACACACCTTTTCTCCAGCCTCGACAAGCATTTCCACCCCCTCTACCCAGGCCTGTACCCCTTCACGCCCCATGTGGGGATGTCCAGGTGAGGCCAGGGGAACTGAAATGGGGACAGTGTCGGGTAAAGGCCGGGAGGGGAGGATGGGGTGGCTCCAGTGTTGGGGGGAACCCCGCAAGTGCTGGGGCAAGGGTCTGAAGCCTCAGCCTGTTCCCATATAAATAACGGTTTAGGAAAGAATTAGCAATGTAGGCACATAGTTATTCCTTTATATAATCGTATATAATCTTATAGTTACTTATAATCCTAAAGATATATACTCAGCATAACCTTTAATTTTACTAATGACAATCGGGTTATGAAGTATGGAACTGAGGTGACATTGTGAACAAAGTGACCCTAAGGCAAGATGCCCTAAGCCCTCTGTCATGACCGCATAAGGGCTGCTGGAGGGCGCCTCGGCTGTGCGGCAGCGCCAGCGCTGGGAAAGCCCCACTGTTTAGCCAGCTAGGGAAGGAGATGTCCAAAATGACCGAGACATCTCCTTCCTGGGGGAATTAGGAGAAAACTCCGCTCCTCCAAGCTCTGTGGCAAGGCCTGATGGCTGTCAGGGAGGCCCACAGACATCCGGGGGCTTAACTGTCTATGTGATGCTGCGCTTCAGCGGTCGCCTTCCATGTCCACTCTCACGCCCTGCTTCTGCACCTGGCCCCTCTTTTTCTCAGAAGGTAAGAACTAACATCCTCGATATTTCAGACAAATAGGCAAAGAGCACTGATGCAGTAGGTTTTCTCCACACCTCAGCTACATGAAAGTCCTGCCTCCCCCCCAAGACACGTGATTTACCTGACCCTATCACTGACCACCATTACTTCACCCTACCTTCCCTGCCTGCTGCTTTGTACTCCATAAAAGTCAGAGTGTCCAGGCACTCAGGGCCACTGCAGGTCTCCGCAATTTGGTTGGCAGTGGACCCCCGAGCCAAAACTCTCTTTTCTCTTTCTCTGTCTCTTTTATTCTACAGTTTCTCATCTCCGCACCAGCAGGGAGGGGCTCACAGAACCCTATGGGGCTGGGCCGGGCGCGGTGGCTCAAGCCTGTAATCCCAGCACTTTGGGAGGCCGAGGCGGGTGGATCACGAGGTCAAGAGATCGAGACCATCCTGGTCAACATGGTGAAACCCCGTCTCTACTAAAAATACAAAAAATCAGCTGGGCATGGTGGCGCATGCCTGTAATCCCAGCTACTCAGGAGGCTGAGGCAGGAGAATTGCCTGAACCCAGGAGGCGGAGGTTGCGGTGAGCCGAGATCGCGCCATTGCACTCCAGCCTGGGTAGCAAGAGCGAAACTCCGTCTCAAAAAAAAAAAAAAAAAAAAAAAAAAAGAACCCTATGGGGCTGGACCCTGTAGGGGTTCAGGGGCTAGGCTTTGCAGCTTGGCCACCTCAAGGCGAACCTCCAACTCTGCCTCTAACTGCTGTGTAGGACAAGTCACTTTGCCCTCAGTGCCTCAGTTTCTTCATTTTGTAAACGAGGATAATTGAAGTCCTGTCCTTCCATTGTTGTGGGTGGAGACTTTGGGTGGAACCCCTGGAACAGGACCTGACCCTTTCCCTGATCACTGAATGTTTGGCTGTAGCATTAGATGATCACTGAGTGTTTGGCTATTGCATTAGATAATCACTGAGTGTTTGGATGTTGTAGTAGATGATCACTGAGTGTTTGGCTGTTGCATTAGATAATCACTGAGTGTTTGGCTGTTGCATTAGATGATCACTAGGTGTTTGGCTGTTGCATTAGATAATCACTGAGTGTTTGGATGTTGCAGTAGATGATCACTGAGTATTTGGCTGTTGCATTAGATAATCACTGAGTGTTTGGCTGTTGCATTAGATGATCACTAGGTGTTTGGCTGTTGCATTAGATGATCACTGGGTGTTTGGCTGTTCCATTACACGTGTTGCTTCTTGTGTCTCAAGTAGGATCAATTTCTCTCTGTGGCTCATGGTCCCAAAGGGCTGAAAACCCTGTCCCTGGAGGCCCCTGGGGCTCTGATCTTGGCAAGTGCCAATGTGGGCTTGGAGACTTGGGAAGGGGACATGAAGAATGGGCTGGGTCCAGGGCCTGTACTGATTTCCTGTTTCTGCTGTGACAAATTACCGCAGTGTGAGGCCCGCTGTCCCCAGCTGTCTGCATCTCGTGCCTTTGCTCATGCTGAGCCCTCAACCTGTAATGCCCTCCTCCCCTTGTCTCCTCTTGGCTAATTCTCCCTCATCCTTTAAGACTTAGCTCAGACATTGCCACCTCCAGGAAGTCTTCCCTGAAGCACATCCCCCTCACTTCACCCCTGGGAAAGTGCCTACACACCATGAGCTGCATGTGTCCCCATCCATGCGGATGGCAAAGTGAACTGCCACTATCTGCCTCTGCACCATCCCCTACCACGCACGAGGCATCTGCCCTCAGCTGGAAACTGGGCCTTTTCTTTATACCCCCAGTGCCAGGGGACGCTGGTGAGGACAAGGCCTTGGCAAATGTCTGCTGAGTGAATGGATGAGTGGGTGGCTTCCCTGAGGCTCCATGAACACTCAGAGAAGCCCAGGCCTGAGTGGCCAGCGGAGGCCCGCTGGATGGGTCTGGGGTGAGGGCCAGTGGGGAGTGGTGGCCTTGAAGCCTGACTCCTCAAAGACTGTGGGACTGACACAGGGTCCCACAGCATCCCTGAGGGGGTGGTGCTGCTGTCTTTCTGTCCTCGGCAGAGTCACCTCTGCCCTACCCTTCATCTCTGTTCCCTGGACTCCAGCACTGGGGCCTTTGTCCCCAAGGAGCAGGGAAGGCTTTGGTTGTACCCCAGATCCAAGGACCAAACCTGGATGCATTGATTCTGCAGAAGCATTATTTATTGGTGGATTCAGATTCAGCATCCTGACTCAGTTACTCCAGTACCATCAGCCACCACCTCCCAGATGGCCTCAGCTTGGGTGGCCACATAACTGAACCTAGTGACCCATGGGTGCCTTTGATGGTCATTTGAGTCACTCAGTGGTCAGCTCCTAGAGTGGTTACTTCCATTCAAACCCAATGCTCTTGATGCCGAGGAGTCCATACTCGCCATAGATGCCCACCAGCACCTGCCCCTCTTTGCTGGGGTAGGCAAAGAAGACATTCCCCTCAAGATTCCCAAAATAGAAACAGCGGCCTTTGTTGGTGCACAAGGCCATACCCTGGAGGAAAACTTTGAAGGCGCCAATGACTTTTATGATGCCTTCATCTTGCTGCAGGATGACTTCCTGGGTCTGCCCACCTGAAGCGCCCTGTTTAACATCCCAGGAGTCTCCAAGTCTCACCTGGACACTGGGAGAGAGGCAAAGCTTTGGATGTCCAGATCTGGGATGGCCCAGCACATCCAGGTCCTCAGCGCCCCCACCCTCCTTCCTGGGATGCAGAGACCAGTACCATCAGCGTTTGGGTCCCTGACACAGACTCACTGGTCACCAACCCTGGTTCTACCACTTTCCGGCTCTGCAATCTTGAACTGGTTACCCAGCCTCTCTGGGCACAGTTTCCCCATCTGCAAAGTGGCTGTGATTGTTGGCAGGAGTCACCGAGGTGGTGACAAAGAGAGCTCCGTGCAGTGCCCAGGTCCCCGTGATCCCAGAAGGCACCGGCTGCTGTCATGGTGGCCCACACAGGAGCTGCCTCTGGCTGAGCCCAGACCCAAGGAGCCTGAGTCACTCTGAGCAGAGCAGCTTAACGGCCGAGGGGCAGGTGAGTTCCCACACTTAGCAGCGCTTCCCCCGGGGGCTCATCTGCGTCCCTCCCTCACCCTGGTGCCCTCCTAGGACGCAGCCCTCCGGCTCGCCCTGCCCACACGCTGTCTCCTCTGCTCTTGGGCTTCACCCTGCATGCCCTCCTCCAGGACCCCAGAACTCCTAAGTGCAAGGCAGAAACCCATCCCAGACCTTGAGCAGAGACACCTTGATGTTAGGGAAATGGCCCGGATTTCTGCCTCTAACACTTGTGTGACTCATGTTCAGTCGGTGGTCCACTCTGACCCTCACCCCCTGTCTTCTCTGACTGTAAGTGAACAGACTTTCCCCTGATCTTCCTATCAGGCTTGGGGATGGAGAGGCCATTTTTGGTTGAGTTGAGTTTGGGTTGAAGGGAGAAGGTGGGGGGACGGTCATCTGATCTTCTCTGCTCAAGCCGGGAATCATCGGCAGGAGCCGGACAGGAAGTGGGAAGAGTGCCTACAGGAACCCCTGCCCTGAGTTCCTGAAACTGTGGGACGGGTTGGGACATGGCGTGGGGCCCATGACCACGGCCCTACTCACCTTTTCACCATAAGAGCCGAAGACACCCGCAGCCCTGTGATTTTACGGTTGTCGTCTTCCATTGTGCTGAAATACTTCCCTCCTCCAGGGCCATACATCTCTGCAAGGAAGAGAAAACCAAGGGGGAGAAAATCCCCACGCCATAATCTGGGGGCGACCTCTGCCAGAAGAGGGGACCCGCCCCTCTAGCCAGAACAGGGTGGTTCTGTGACCGAGTTAGTCTGGAGGGAGGCAGGGGAGATTGGGCGCAGACCCCACCCACTTACTCCCTGCCCAGGTGGGACCCCCCAGGAGCTCGAGGGTGAGCAGCAGCAGCAGCATGGCCTCTGGCTGGTGCATCCCAGGGATCTAGGGGAAGACAAGAGGGCTCCTGACTCCAAAGCAAGGGCCAGCATGACCTCACCGGGCCCCACCAAGGAGCCAAGCACCTTACCTGGCCGGGAGAGTCTTCGCTGGCGTCTCCTTGTGCCTGGGTCCCTCCAGGTCGCCTTTATACCCTCCTGTGCCCTCTGGTCCCCATCCAGAAAGGAGAAATGAAGGGACACCTGGGGACAGGAAGGAGCTGGTGGTGGGGCTCTTCCTGGGGAACGGCTCCCGGATGTGTGGTATTTGCTGTCTTGGCTCTGCAGCCTACACAAACAGGGCTGGGCACAGTGACAGGCTTTTCATGGTCACCTCTGGGCTGTCTCCAGTCAGTACTGGCAGCAGCACTGGACGGCAGAGGTGGGGAGACGCTGTCTCAGAGCCTTCTCCAGCTCAGCCAGACGGCTTCCACTCAAGGTTGGCGGGGAAAGGGTCCACAGAAGCTCCATGGGGCCCACTCCCACCATGGGTGACCTTCAATTGGGGCTTTCTTCAGGCTCAGGCAATGCCTGGTGCCTGGCAGCATTCCTGGGACCCAGGCTGAGCTCGCCTCAGGCCTTGAGGGAGCCCAAGTGGACCACTCCGCCCTTTGTGTCCCCTGTAACAGGCACGTCAGACGCTGGGCCTCCAGGTGTGGCCCTTGGAGGCTGCCTGTGTCTCTCCTCTGTGCCACTTCTGGGTGTAGCGGGGATGAGCCCGTGTTCAGGGGCTCACAGGACATGGGAGGGAAGGACACCAAAGGTGCAGTCCCGGCCAGGACAGGAAGCAGAGGGCCCAGGGAGGGCAACCCTGCAGACCCCTCCTTCCAGGCTGTCGGTCCTCATCTGGGTGGGAACTGGCGCTGAGGTTTGTGGTGAGATAATTCTTTGTTAGAGAGGAGGGTAGGGGGCTGTCCTGTGCCTCGCAGGACATGTGGCAGCATCCCTGGTGTCCACCCACCAGAGGCCTGGAATACTCTCCCATGTCACAACCAAACTGTCTCCAGACAGGGCCCAATGCTCCCCAGTGCTGCCTGCCATGCCTGGGAGAAGTCCCCAGTCCCCAGGGCCCTGCTGCACTCAGCCCTGGCTTATGGCACAGTGGGCCTGCATGTGGAAAATGATGGGGGTCCAGAGAGGCCTCCTGCAGGCTCCCTCCCCTGCTCCTCTTTCTCTCAACATAGACCTACTCCAGAGATGCAGGCCCCTCCTTTTGCATCGGGGCAAAGAGCAGGGGAGAGTCAGGGGACCTGTGTCCTCATGGGGATCACAGCCTCATGAAGGGGTGAGGGGGACTTGGGATTCCTGAGCTCGTTCCTCACTGCTTCTCCACTGAGGATTTCAAACCATGGGACACCTTACACTAAAATTAAGTCCAGATGGATTAAAGACTTAAACATAAGGCCTAACACCATAAAAACCCCAGAAGAAAACCTAGGCAACGCCATTCAAGACATAGGCATAGGCAAGGACTTCATGACTAAAACACAAAAAGCATTGGCAACAAAAGCAAAATAGACAAATGGGACCTGATCAAACCCCAGAGCTTCTGCACGGCAAAAGAAACAGTCATTAGAGTGAACCAGCAACCAACAGGATGGGAAAAAATTTTTGCAATCTACCCATCTGACAAAGGGCTGATATCCAGAATTTACAAAGAACTAAAACAGATTTACAAGAAAAAAAAACAAACAAACCCATTCAAAAGTAGGTGAAGGACATGAACAGACACTTTTCAAAAGAAGACATATATGAGGCCAACAAACATATGAAAAAATGCTCATCATCACTGGTCATTAGAGAAATGCAAATCAAAACCACACTGAGATACCATCTCACACCTGTTAGAATGGTGATCATTAAAAAATCTGGAGACAACAGATGCTGGAGAGGATGTGGAGAAATAGGAACACTTTTTTACATTGTTGGTGGGAGTGTTAATTAGTTCAACCATTGTGGAAGACAGTGTGGCACTTCCTCAAGGACCTAGAAATAGAAATTCCATTTGACCCAGCAATCCCATTATTGGATATATATCCAAAGGATTATAAATTGTTCTATTATAAAGACACATGCACACATATATTCATTGTGGTACTGTTTACAATAGCAAAGACCTGGAACCAACCCAAATGCCCATCGGTGATAGACTGGACAAGGAAAATGTGGCACATATACACCATGGAATACTATGCAGCCATAAAAAACGATGAGTTCATGTTCTTTTTAGGGACATAGATGAATCTGGAAACCATCATTCTCAGCAAACTGACACAAGAACAGAAAAACAAACACCGCATGTTCTCACTCATAGGCGGGTGTTGAATAGTGAGAACACATGGACACAGGGAGGGGAGCATCACACACTAGGGTCTGTTGAGGGGAATAGGGGAGGAGCAGTCGGGGGTAGGGAGGTTTGGGAGGGATAATGGGGAGAAATGCCATATATAGGTGACGGGGGTGGAGGCAGCAAACCACATTGCCATGTATGTTCCTATGCAACAATCCTGCATGTTTTGCACATGTACCCCAGAACATAAAGTGCAATAAAATAAAAAATAAAAAACCTTTTATAGTCTAGTAAAACTTTAGAACATCTTTTGTTTTCTAAGCATGTTATCATTACAAATTCAAATCATACTATATTTGCAAAAAAACAAGAAATAGAAATTCCATTTGACCCAGCAATCCCATTACTGGGTATATATCCAAAGGATTATAAATCGTTCTATTATAAAGACACATGCACACATATGTTCATTGCGGCACTGTTTACAATAGCAAAGACCTAGAACCAACCCAAATGCCCATCGACGTATGGTATTTGCTGTCTTGGCTCTGCAGCCTACACAAGCAGGACTGGGCACAGTGACAGGCTTTTCACGGTCACCTCTGGGCTGTCTCCAGTCAGCATTGGCACCAGTGCTGGACGGCGGAGTGGGGGAGACGCTGGCTCAGAGCCTTCTCCAGCTCAGCCTGACTCCTTCCACCCGAGGGTGGCGGGTCAAGGGTCTACAGAAGCTCCATGGGGCCCACTCCCACCATGGGTGACCTGGAGTTGGGGCCTTCTTCAGGCTCAGGCAGCACCTGGTGCCTGGCAGGGTTCCTGGGACCCAGGCCGAGCTCACCACGGGCCCTGAGAGACTCCAAGAGCCCTGAGCTGTGGTGGCTGATGGTACTGGAGTAACTGAGTCAGGACGCAGAATCTGAATCTACCAATAAATAAAGCTTCGCAGAATCAATGCGTCCAGGTTTGGTCCTTGTTTCTGGGGTACAACCAAAGCCTTCCCTGCTCCTTGGGGACAAAGGCCCCAGTGCTGGAGCCCAGTGAATGGAGATGAAGGGTAGGACAGAGATGACTCTGCTGAGGACAGAGGCTCCCTGAGGCTCCCAGAACACTGAGAGAAGCCCGGGACTGAGTGGCCAGCAGAGGCCCCCTGGATGGGCCTGGGGTGAGGGACAGTGGGGAGTGGTGGCCTTGAAGCCTGACTCCTCAAAGATTGTGGGACTGACACAGGGTCCCACAGCATCCCTGAGGGGGTCGTGCTGCTCTCTTTCTCAGAGGAGAAAACCTTATGCATCAGCGCTCTTCGCATATTTGTTAGGAATGTCAAGGACATTCATTCTTATCTTCTGAGAAAAAGAGAAACCAGGGGCAGAAGCAGGGTGTGAGAGTGGACATGGAATGTGACCACTGAAGCCAGCATCACATAGAGACAGTTAAGCCCCCGGATGTCTGTGGGCCTCCCTGACAGCCATCAGGCCTTGCCACAGAGCTTGGAGGAGCGGAGTTTTCTGCAAACTTCCCCAGGAAGGAGATGTCTTGGCCATTTTAGACATCTTCCCTAGCTGGTTAAACAGCGGGCACTTTGCCAGCGCTGGCGCTGCCGCACAGCTGAGGTGCCCTCCAGCAGCCCTTATGCAGGGGTCACAGAGGGCTTAGAGCATCTTGCCTTAGAATCACTTTGTTCACGGTGTCGTCTCAGTTCCATACTTCATAACCCGATAGTCATTAGTAAAATTAAAGGTTATGTTGAGTATATATCTTTATGATTATAGGTAACTATTAGAGTATATATGATTATATAAAGGAATAACCATGTGCCTACATTTTTAATTTTTTTCTAAATCAATATTCACATGGGAACAGGCTGAGCTTGAGACCCTTGCCCCGGCGCTTGCGGGGTTCCCCCCACATCTCCCCCCTTTCTTGTTGAATCGCCATAGCCATCATTTTTTGTTGTTGGCTTCTAGTGTCCCTTTGGATTCCTCGTACAGGTCGGCAGACTAGAAATAAACAACACAGACAGATAAGGGTTAACACTGCTAGGTGGGGCGTGGTGGCTCACACCTGTAATCCAAGCACTTTGGAGGCCAAGGTAGGGGGATCACCTGAGGTTGGGAGTTCAAGACCAGCCTGACCAACATGGTGAAACCCCGTCTTTTTAAAAAAAAAAAAAAAGAAGAAGAAGAAGAGGAAGAAGAAAAGAGTTAACACTGCTAGAAACACTACTGAACCTCCAAAGGACTTCGTCCGTTCCGTAGGGTTGAGTCCGGATAAGTTATTGGTGATTATGTCAAATACTCCTGATCCGTGTGCAGTATTTAAATGAGCCTGGGAGGCTTCAAAGATTTGCTCTTTTAATTTAGAGATATCGAGAGTCAAGTTTCCATCCCATGCTTTTAAATGTCTTCTGACTGATTCCCAGTGATGTTGAGTTTCATTATAAACACAAGATGTCGGGCCGGGCGCGGTGGCTCACGCCTGTAATCCCAGCACTTTGGGAGGCCGAGGCGGGTGGATCACGAGGTCAAGAGATTGAGACCATCCTGGTCAACATGGTGAAACCCCGTCTCTAC